CAATACTAATACCAATACATGTCAAATTTCCATTGCAAAATTTGCTACTTACTTTTGTTGTGCAGGGTTTCCTCTTTCGCTACCGGCATTTCCACTATTCTCGTACTTTTCAATTAACTTTTCCAAAACCTCTCTTGGTCTCATAAAAGTTCTATAGACACAGAAAAAGGTGATGACAAACGGGTCTTCGTGCGTTCCGTATTCCCCGCCACAAGTCAACCTTTCGATCAATTCATCGATCGCCAATGCACACTCTTGACTATTATTATTCGAACGACGTGATTTGTCCACTGGGTCCATTTGGAACATGCAATCCCAGTTCGCCGAGCAGTCACTTGCGATTGAAAAGGAGGAATCGGTCGACATTCGTGATTCGGTTGATTGAGTGTCTTTTTGCGACGTTTCTTCGTCCATTTCTTTCACTTGCAAAAGAGTAGAGTACGGTAACAATGCTCGTCGATGAGGATGAGAGATGCGATTTGTTGGGGACGTGTGAGCTGATGTTGGAGGCGATCTTGACGGTGATTGAGGTGGAGTGATGGAAATTTCAGGTGGTTTCGCAATAAAGCGAGGAAGAGATCTCGACAAAGAGCTTGTGGCAACTCTTGCCGTCGACTCGTCGTCGCTCGCATATTTCGTTGATAAACAAGATGATTTGTTGTTACTGTTGTGACGCCAAGTTGATCTCCAAGATCTGCTAAGTTCCTTTCCTAATTCCTTCTTCTTTCTTGTGTGGTTATTATGACTAACGTCGCTACTTGTTCTCTTGTGTTTGTAAAATGGGATAATGTCCAACTCGCTTATGGATATTTCATGGCTATCACTTCGCTGTCTCTTGTCCGCACGTTGTCTTTGGAATTCTCGGCGTCGGATGGCCAGACGAAGGAGCATAGAGAATACGTCGTGTATCTTTTCTGCACTCTGAGGATTTGTTGCGTCGAGTTCGACAAAACCCACGTTGAATAAACCGCCCAGCTTTGTGCCGTGCGCAGTGTCCACTCGACGGTTTGGCGATTCTGATTTTGTGGCTACGAGGATTGCAGGAACTTCGAATTCTCTAAAGGCGCTCAATAGCCAGGCTATGTTTGCTATTGTGTCTCGGTTTTCGCAATCGTAACATACCAGGACTCCATCGATTTCGGGAAGGTCTCGTGGCCATTCTATTTCTGAGCGCATGTCAAAGACATCTTCTCTTAATTCCATGACTTCGACAGGATATAAATGATCGTCCACTTCGATTTCTGATATAAAGCTTGGGGTTTTTAGTATGCTCTGTTCTACGCCGACATTTTTTATTGGGGCAAGATTGCGAAGTCCGGTGCATGTTATTGTTGACTTGCCGACATTAGGTTTTCCTATTACCGCAAGAATGAATGTCTCGTCTGAGGGGAGTGATTGACGACGTTCAACCGATTTTAGTGTTCCGTTTGTCGGTAACTGCGAAAAGACGTGAACAGGTAAACGTCATATCAAGTTGGTTCGAGGAAATGTTAAGGGAGCAGCGATCAACTTGTGAGAGTCAATTGTTTTTCAAACTTTACCTCTTTCTCTCCTGTTGTGGAGGTTGGTGATAATGATTGAATAGAGTCAATTGATGTAGAGGGCGTATGAGAAAACAGCTTGTCTCTTGGAAATGTCAGGGATAGTCGCTTCCACATTGTGTATTTTTAATTGT